AGCCTGTGCCCTCAAAGAGGGCAGGATGGGTCCCAGCATGTTTCTTCCTGGTATGTCTCCCTCCCAGCTGCCCTGCTCGGGTGGGTGCAGTCAACACTGTTAGGAATCTTAGAACCACAGAATGGTTTGGGTTGAAAGGGACCTTAAAGCTCACCCAGTTCCAACCCCACCTTCTAACTAGAGCAGGTTGCTCCAAGCCCCGTCCAACCTGGCCTTGAACACTGCCAGGGATGGGGCAGCCACAGCTTCTCTGGGCACCCTGTGCCAGCACCTCAGCAGCCTCATAGGGAAGATGTTCCTAGTGTCTAATCCAAACCTCTGCTCTTCCAGCAACTCTCCAGACCCACCTTCTTCGCCCGCAAGTTTGAGTCGACAGTGAATCAGGAGGTGCTGGAGATCCTGGACACGCACCTCTATGGCAGCTATCCCCCCAACACACCGGCACTGAAGGCGTACTGGGAGAATGTCTATGACCGTGTCGATGGGCTCAGTGGCCTCAGTGATGTCACCCTCACCTTCTACACAGCCTTCTCCAGGCTGGGGCTCCACAAAGCTGCATCCACACCGGCAGCAAAGGCCGACAAACTTTGCAGGTCAGGTATTTGTTATGGGGTTGATCCAGGCTGCGAGTGGTGGCCTGCATCTTGTGCTGAGAGGATGCTAATGCTCAGATGTGCAACCTTTCTCTGTCTATCTCTCTCTGCAGATTTGAGCCCCGTGGCTTCCCATCCAGCGTGCACTTATATTTCTATGATGACCGTTTCCAGGGTTACCTGGTGATGCAGGAAGTGCAGAATTTGGTAACGGGGCAGGCAGAGTCGCTGGAGGTGTGGATGATGCCCCAAGGAGCTCTGAAGCTGGCGAGTCACGGAGGGCAGGCAAACCGCTTGCAAAACCTTGAGGTAAATGGGAAAAGCCCTTCATAATGCCCACTTTCCTCCCAGGCTGTCCCACACCACTCTGCCCTTCCTCCTCTTCCTCCACTTGCACGCTGTGGGGACAAGGGGACATAGTGCCACTGTCATGTCTGAGAACAAACCTTTGTCCAGGGGTTTGGTTTCTGTGTGGGACGTGGAGCTGATCAGCGGGGAAAAGGCTTGAAGGGTTCTTTAGGGGGGAGCTGAGGCTCTGGGGTTCAGTGTCTGCATCTGCAGGAGGCATCATGCAGCTGCAGGAGGCATCATACAGCTGGAGTAGTGCTGGCATGGTACAGGCAGGCAGGAGAGCCATGGAGAGGGGTGTGCATTGCTTTGGGTTCCAAGGTTTGTGCCTGTCCTGGTTTGGGGAGCAAAACCTGAGCTGGTAGCATCTCCCCGTGCAGTGTCCCACCGCTTGTGCCTCCTGTCCCTCCAGGTGGGCACGGAGTGGGATCCCAAGGAAAGACTCTTCCGCAACTTTGGAGGCTTGATGGGGCCTTTCGACGAGCCGGTGGCCATGCAGAAGTGGTCTCGGGGTCCCAACCTGACAGCCACAGTAGTGTGGATCGATCCCACGTACATCATTGCTGCTTCCTACGACATCACGGTGGATGCCGAGGCAGAGTTCACCCAGTACAAGCCCCCCCTCAACCGGCCGCTGCGCCCCGGTGTCTGGACTATCCGTCTCCTGCAGTTCTGGGAGCCCCTGGGCGAGAGCCAGTTCCTGGTGGTGCCACAGACCTTCAACCGCAAGCAGCCTCTCAGGAAAGGTGAGAGTGTGCTGGAGCCTGGGGCTTCATGGGAGGGTCTCCCTGGGGTTCCCCTAGTCCTGGCCTCTCTGGTGACGTTGCAAGAGCTGTTGTCCATTGGTGTCCCTTTGCCCATGTAGAGTCTTCAGAGGAGGCCCATCTGTGGTCAGTTATGTCTGTCCCACAGCTGCACCAGGCTGGAGGAGAGCTGGGGTTGCAAAGGGATGGGGTACTGAGCCACACCAGGAGGTGGCGAAGGGACCATTGAAGGATGCTCAGACCCCAGAGCAGCTTCCAGTGTCTGAAGGGGGCCTATAAAGATGCTGGAGAGGGACTCTTCATTAGGGACTGTAGTGATAGGACAAGGGGTGATGGGTTAAAACTTAAACAGGGGAGGTTTAGATTGGATATAAGGAAGAAGTTCTTTCCTGTGAGGGTGGTGAGGCACTGGAATGGGTTGCCCAGGGAAGTTGTGAATGCTCCATCCCTGGTGGTGCTCAAGGCCAGGTTGGACAGAGCCTTGGGCGACATGGTTTAGAGTGAGGCATCCCTGCCCATCTCAGGGGTTTGGAACTGGATGATCTTAAGGTGCTTTCCAACCCTAACCATTCTGTGATTCTGCGCCGCTGATCCTACTCTCTTCTCTCCCATTCCTGCGCAGACGACAGTAACTGGCTGCATGGCGGTCCCCCCCGCAATGAATACATGGAGCAGAGCTTCCAGGGCCTGGGAGGGATCCTCAACCTGCCACGTTCCGAGGCAGTGGAGGAGGACGCGATGCGGAAGGCGCAGCTTACGGGGAAGGCACTGGAGGACTGGGCTGACAGTGCCATCAGCGCCTTCTGGTCCGTGGCAGACGTCTGCGTGAGCAGCCCCTCTGCCTGCACCGCCCTGGAGACCTGCAGCAAAACCTCCTGGAGCTCCCTCTCCCCGGACCCCAAATCAGAACTGGGGCCCGTCAAACCTGACGGGCGGCTGAGGTAGCAGGAGCAGCCGGGGGGGTGGCCTTGGGAGCGAGGAGCATCCTCCATCACTGTCACTGGCGTTGGGGGTATCCCCGGACTGCATCGTCCTGTGCCATCTGCACCGTAAGCGCTCGAGGAAGAGAGAATGGGAACCCCTGGGTAGGGGAAAACCTTCTGTGGGGGATTTTGGGCAGAGGGGTGAGGTGAGGCTTGTCCACCTCTCCCAGGAATGGGCTCTTGCTGGCTGGGGAGAGCATGGAGAGCGCGATGGGCTGGCCAGAAGGTGGCTGGGGAGAGCTGTGCGTCTGTCCCTCCAGGCCTTGGAGCCTCGGGAAGTGCTGATAGGGGAGCAAGGGAAGGCTGGTGGATGTGCAGGCTCTGGACCAGCTCAGCACCCTCTGAGCATCCTTCCAGGATGAAGCTCTGTGCTACTCCAGGCAGGGCTGGCACAGGGCTATGGGGACAGGCAGAAGGAGATGGGGTGAAGCGTGCCACGTGCATGGAGCTGCGGCTGGGCCAGGGCTTGCATCTCACCCCCTCCACCCCAGTCCTTTAGTTTGTATTTTTATAAATATATATAGAGAGAAATATATATGATGCAAAGTGCAATAGAGACGAGACCCCGCGTTGGCCGGGAAGTCCTTGTGTCTCCACCTCCCCTCAGACTGTAACATATCTTGTTCTCTTGGGTGTCCTGGCACTACAGGACAGGGTGCTGGGTCGTTTACATGATTTTTTTACTATTAATGATGATGGTTATTGTTTTGCTGTTTCCCCATTTCCTGCTGGGTGCTGCTGGGATGCCCACCCTGCTGCCCCTTGGGCAGGGTTGTGGGGTGCTGCCTGATGGTGCCAAACATCCAGAGCTGCTGGTGTGTGTCTTGTGACAGTGGAGCACTCAGTTCATGGTTACAGTCCCAAATGCTGATGTAGGACCCTGTTGCCATTGTCTGCTTCAGCAAAGGGTCAGTTCCCTGCCAAAATGCCACCCCTTGGGCTGATGTCCTGCTGTGGATGAGAGCTTGCTGTGCCTGGAGTGCTGCCCCGTGCCACTGCCCTTTGGCCCAACCTCTTCTTTTATCCTGGGTCATTGGAAGCTCTCAGGAGCTGCTGTGCTTCCCTGGCCAAAAAACAAAGAGGCAAGACAAGGTCCAGCTGAATCCATTTGTGCTTTCTGCTTCTGCCTCCTTGTGGAAGGGGTGCAGTGGAGCATCCCCTTTTCCTGCCATCCTCCCAGGCATGGGACCTGCCTGTGAAGTTCCTTTCTCCAAGACTGACTATGGAAAAGCCTGGGCTTGGTTTTCACCCTGGGAAGACACTTCACGTCTTGCCTGCAGCCTGGGAAGGGGAATTGCTTGCTGCATGGGAAGGGGACAAGCAGGAGCCCATTGGGCCCAACCACTGTGCTCCAGGCAGCGCCAGCAGCTCCGTGCCTCGGCCAGTCGCATTTTGCCATCTCCAAAGATCCGGTGCCATCCTCCACCCTCTGCCAGGGCCCAGCTTCCCCCTGCTGGGGCTCACACTCCCTGTCTCCCCTGTTCAAGGATGCTGGTGCTCCATGAGGCACATTGTTAAACAGGACAGAGACCTTGACAGCAAGGGCAGGTACCTGCCAGTGAAGGGCACGGTGGGGGGGGGAGACGCCAAAACTCTGTTGGAAGCATTGTGTAAAGTTGTCTTAAATATGCAACATCTCCACAAATATATCTCTGCCTCTATAGTGTGGTGTGATGGGTTTGTGTTGTGTGTGCGGGGAGGGGTGGGGGGAGCTTTGCCTTCGCATGGCATCCCGGTGGGGTGTACCCGGTCCTGGGCACCCGGGGGGATGGATTATGGGGGGTTGTACTGGGGTGCTGGTGGTGTTTGTTGGGGGTGTAGGGGGGGTGTATTGGTGTGCTGGGAGCGTTTGTTGGGCTTGCTCCCCATGGCAATGTGCAGCTAAGCACCAAGCCGTTGGTTTTCCATAGCCTGTGCCCGGGGGAGGACACACGGCCCTGTAGGTGCTTATTTAGTACTTAGCTACTTAATTAATTAGCTAATGAGCAGGCACCACCTGGTGCCGGCGGGGCCGGAGCCTCCCTAGGCTCTCCCTGCCCGGGAGCGGGGCAGCGCTGTGGCCGTTCCCTGCCCGCGAGGACAAACACAAACACACACAGCCTGGCTTACCCTACCGCAGGATGCTCCGGTAACCGCGGGGTCGGAGGAGCCGGGGTCCGGGTGTATCGGAGGGGACAAGCCGGGACCGGTCCCTCCCGTCGGGGCCCGCCCGCAGCGTCGCCACGGCAACCGCCGGCCAATGCAGCCCGTCCCGCCTGCAGCCAATGGGGGACGGCGGAGGGTGGCGCGGCGGCCAATGGGATGCGCCCGGCTCCTCCCCGATGCTCCCGGTCCCGCCCCGCCGGCCGGTGGGGCGCGGGCAGCGGCTGCAGGTGCGGGTGGCAGCGGAGGGATGGCGCAGCCCAGCGAGGCCTCGGTGCACTCGGCGGCTGGCGGCGCCGCTATGGACAGCAACGTCCTGGCCATCGTTATCGCCGCGAGTGAGTGGTGGGACCGGCTCCGGTGGAGCGGGGTCGGGTGGGGGCGGCCTCGGGCTGTGCCGGCTCCTTGCGGCCCGGGGATGCGGTCGTTACAGCTCGCGGTCCTTCTCCGGGGCATCGCTGGTCCCTGGGTTCGGGTCCGAGGGGAGCGGCGGGAGGGGCTGGCGGTGCCGGGTGGGCTCTATGGGATCCGGGGCGCTGGAGACCCGGGCTCCCTGCTGCGGGGCCGCGTGTGAGCTGAGAGTCCCGGGAGGGAGGGTGCCGGGCCCGGCTCCCGGTGCAGCGGTCTGGGATAAGGCTGGGCAGGACCTATCGGCGTGGTTATTGGCCTTCTCGGGACAGGCAACCGGTAAAATGGGCTTGAATGGGGCTTTTTCAAGCTTCTCTTGACTGTAGACCCCGGGGGTGAAGGCAGGAGAGAGTGGGGAGGCCCGTGGGCCCAAAGGTATTCCCCTCTTCTCCCTTCCCTGGTAGCTGTGTCCACCTCCGTCTTCATCGTGGCAATCCTCATCCTGCTGCTGCTCCTGTACCACCGGGACCCCATGTGCTGCCAGTTCCTCTGCTCCTGCCGCTTATTCCAGAGCCCCAGCCAGTATGTGAGTGTCCTCCTGCCCCGAGTTCCCCTCTGCTCCCGGGCTCATGTTCCATTGCACTGTGCTCCAGGATGAACATGGGACCCCTAAGCAGAGCCAGGCTCTGCCTCCTCCTTGTTCCCAATCTCCTGTAGAGCTCCATCGCCCCAATGAACTTGGCTGTGCTGTTGGTGGTAACATTCCCAAGGCCTGATATGGGGAGGTGCCCTGGATCCCTGGAGAGGGGTGATGCACAGTTGTAGTGGGGTCAGGCTCTGCATTATGGGGAAGGGGCCCAGCGGGGATGGGGCTGGAACCTGAGGGCAAAGGCAGACAAAGCCAATCGCATCCCCGGCAAGTGTGCATAGCTCCCAGCACGGAGCAGTGAGACACAAAAGCCTTTTTTGCTCACAGCTGTAATTTCCTGGGGCTGGCTTTTGAGCTGGGAGCTGGTGATGGTGAAAAGAGCAGCGTGTTCAGGCAGTGCTGCTTTTGTGGTGGTTGGTGGCTGCCTGGGGACAGCTCAGCCTCCAGAGCTGCAGGATGGCTGTTGAGAGCTGTAGGTACCACTTTCCCCTGGTAGAAGAGGGAATGTTCAGCCTCAGCTGGGAGGGAATGGAGACTGGCATCATGAAAGGCAAATGTGATAGTCCAGCACAGGCTGGGAAGTCCCCAGCAGAAATCAAGAGTGGGAACAGGCTGTGGGTGTCCCCTGCCTGCTTCACTGCCCTCTGCTCCTTCCTCCTCTTCCTCCTTGCTGCCTGCCTGTCTGTGGTGCATGTCAGGGAGAAGGCTCTCTACAGAGAGATGATCTCTGCTCACTCTTGCTCAACATGTTGATAGCAACTGAGTTTAACTGGAGCAGAACTACTTGGGAACAGAACAGCCATTGCTCTGCAGATTTGCTTGCTCCGTTATCCTGAAATGACTACCTTGGTAGATAAGAGTTTACAAATTCTTTAACCTTCAGCATGTGATGGAGCTCTTAGCTATGCTAGCGGAATACTTGGCTTGGTTTATTGTCCTAAGTAGATGAATCAAGAGGTGATTCTGCTGAGTCTGAATGAAACCTGGGCCCAGGCTGTCATCCTTCTGTCTGGGCTCAAGCTCTGTGCTGCCTGGTGAGCATATGCCTGAGCTGCTAGCGTTGGTAAAGAGGCAGGTGGAGGTTGGTGGTGAGAGCCGCACCAGCCCAAAGGGCAGAGGTGGTTCTCTCCCCTGCCAGAACCCCACTTCCCAGGCTGGCCCATGTGAACCAACTCAGCTCTGTTCATTGCCAGGCAGGATGAGAGGGATTCTTGGCTTTGCTAACGTCCCACCCCTCCTTACAGGACTGCCCCCCACCCTACTTCAGCAGCAGCCAGCGGCTGGTGGGTCCCCAGTGCAGAGCCTCGCGCTTGGAGAGTGCTGCGGCTGAGAACCCGGGTGTGCAGGTGATGGCTGGGTCCCTGATGGGAGCTGGAGGGGAATGAGTGAAAAGGCCATGGTTATGGGGACCTGGGGACTCCTGGGGCAGAGGGAGAAGGCACTGAGCAGCAGCAGCTTTGAGAAGTGCTGCCTGTATGTAAAATCTGTGGTGGAGGGGGATGTGGGGAGCAGAGATGCCATGGTAAGTGCCATGCGGCTCCCTTGGGATTTGGGATCTTGCAAGCATGAGATGGTGTGATTATCTCCCAGGAGGGAGGATTTCCTCCTCAGAGTTCAAGGAAGGGCAGCTACATCTTCAAACACTGAAGTAACTTGAAGTGGCACCAAGCCATGAACTTCCAGCAAAGACAGCCACCACCACACTGACCTTTCTCTTCTGGCTGGGCATTTCCAGGGGGATGAGCTGTTCTGCGTCGGGCCCCCCAGCACGTACCAGGTCCCATACTGGGAGCAGCCGCGCCTGCCCAGCTATGAGAGTGTACGGAAGAAAGATCGGCAGCGGGAGATCCACCAGATGATTGCTGAGAGGTTCGGGCTGTGGGCAGAACCTTCCCAGGAGGTGAGCATTCCCTCCCCTGCACTGGGGTGCTGGCAGAGCCCCAGGGGCAGTTCCCCCTTCTGGTCTGCATCTGGGTCTTGCTGCAGGACTCTGTTCTCTGTGATAGCCTTACTTTGATAACCTTTATCTCTGGGAAGGGCACAAAGGGTATCGGGAGGCTCCTTTGGTGTTCATCTGTGCTGGTTAATGATCGAGCTCTCAGGGTGCGGGAGGCAGGGCAGAGTTGCTGATGAAGGTGAGACCTGTTCATCTGTGGTGTTCATTTGTGCTGGTTAATGATCGAGCTCTCGGGGTGCCGGAGGCAGGACAGAGCTGCTGATGAAGGTGAGCCTTTCGGATCATCTGCTCAGTACAAGTCCAAGCTGGAATGTTATATTTAGATCTGTGAGGCTTCCAGGATTTCTTGCTCCCTTCTCACTGCCTTTGGGAGGCCCTTCACTATTACCTTCAAGTGTTATTTCTGAGCAGAAGGCTTTGCCTGTTTAAGATCTGCACTCCTGCAACAGAACAGAGAAAAGCGAGTGCCTCTGCCAAGTAGGTCCTGTGGTGGTCTCGTGAGAGACTCACTGAACAAAGAGACCTCCCTGACTAAAGCAGGACAGAAACATTTGAAATGCCAGGTAGAGAACTAAAGGTTCACCTGGATTTTGAGCTCTTAAAGCTGTACCTAAGTCTGGCTTAGTCCACACTTGCTACTTGGTATTTGGAGCTGTAACTAATGAGAGCTGCCCTGAAACCAGAGTACGAAGGGCAGAAAGTAAGGCCCTAGCTGAGGAGCTGCAAGAGGAGTGCTTCCACAACATCCCCGTGCTGCTCCTGTGGCTCCTCACAGGGAGAAAGCTGGCTCAGCTCTGCCAAAATACATGTAACAACAGCCTGGAGGTTCCTCTCTGCTGCTGTGTAGTGAGACTTGCTACCAAAACCTGAGCAGAAAGCCTGGTTTGTAGGTGCTTGTATAATTACAGTAATTGATATTTGGTCAAAGGAAAGTGAGTGACAGTCCTCTTGATGAAAGTTAAGTCTTTTCTGGCCTTTTAACAAGAGTGACAACTCCTCGAAGGGGAACAGGGAAGAACTGGAACCTGGCACAGAGAGCTGGGGGAACATGCCTCTTCAGTGTGCACTACTGCATTGCAAGGTGCAAGATGAGGGTGCTAAGCCCTCATCTCCCAGCTCTCCTGGCTAGCAGCTTGCCGCTTGGAGGACTGCAGTTTGATCTCAGGCTGGTGGTGGTTGGAAGCCTTGTCATCTGCTCCACGAGAAGAGGTGGGATAATCTCCTGGTTATTTCTGATCCACTGTAACGCTCTTCCTCTCTCCTCAATAGATGCCGCCTCCCTATGAGCATGCTCTGAGGCATCCTCCAGCTTTCTCAGGACCAGTGATAAGCTCAGAGACCTTGGACAGACGTGGCATGACAGACCCTTTTCAGGCCCCTCTTGGCTACCAAACTCGGCGAAACACAGCTGTGTAAGGCCTCAGTGGGCTGCTGCTTCCCATGGTTTCAGTGACAGAAGTGCCTGTGACATTGTTCTCCTCCACAGGGAATGGCCAAACATGAGACCTTTGCCCAGGTTTGCCATCAGCTGAGACACAGGCAGGTCAGACCTGGCCAGCAGAGACATCCCTCCTGCAGCACAAGCACAACCATGGAGCCACTGCCAGGCAGAGCAACCAGGGATGTGTGTGCTCGCTCTTCTCTGGCAAACATACTGTTACCAAAAGCAAGAGACCAGCTGCTTGCTTCTATACAAGGGGCAAAGCCAAGGTGAAGGTCTGCTCAGCCAGAGCTCCTCAGGCAGCTGGCATATTGCACCTCTGTGAGGCAAGCACTGTCAGTTGTACCAAGGATCAGACCTCAGTCACCGTGTTGTGCTACTTCACTTGTTTCTTAGTTTATGAAATGTTTTACTTTATCAGTGCATTGGCTACCAGGTGGGAAGCTTCACCTGAGAGCAGCAGAATGGGTCAGCATCAGAGCACTGCTGTGTGCTCCTGCAGCAATGGTCCTCTGTGACCAGCAGTGATTTTTGTATGGACTTCAGATAAATATGTGGAGAGGCTCCAGGAGTTGTGTTAGCTGCTGTATGCAAATACCAACCACAAAGATGAACCGTGTGACTGGGAAAGGACAAAAATGCAGCCAAAATAGCTGGTGAACTATGAACCATGGGGAATGTAAAGCAAAGGTGGACATGCGTGGCTGACCTAACTTAGTTATCTTCTGCAGAGCAGACAATCTAATAGCATCCACACCGGTGTCCTGACACCACCAATTTTGATAACCTGTTTTCTACTGCAGAGCCAATGTTTCAAATTGTTTACAAACCTGTAGATAAAATGAGATCAGATCACAAGGTATTGGGGCTCCTTTCTTTTGAACAATAGAAGCTCAAAAAATGTCAGGGAATGACTCAGGGGAAGACAAAAAGGATGTCTTCTGGATTATGGCCTTATGCTACACCTCCAGCGGCTGAGCTTCGAATACCACCCCAGGCCTGTGCATCCTCCCAGGCACTCGACAATTAGTCATGAGTAAGCTTTACAAGTGCAAACTTGCCTCTCGTGGCTAGTAAATGATATCTGAGTTGTATTCCAGATATTTGAGTTAAACACTGGGATGAGGTAGAAGGAAAAATCTACCTTCCTGGGATGCAGTTAGGTGCAAAAGGATCACTTCTGCAGTATTTTGAATTAAGATACAAATACAACAGTAATATCTAATAATGAGCAAAAATAGAGGGAATTAGTAGGATAAGTAGTGACCTAAGAGTGCTTGTGGAGAGAACTCATCCAGTGGCACAATGGAACAGGTTCCCCAGAGGAAGGTAGTTCCAGATGGTAAATGAACGGAAGTAACACATCCCATGAACAGCCAAGGCCTTCAGCAGCCCCACAGCATTTATTACACACTCTGAGAAATGCCTGCAGGTGATCCCAGTGCCTGAGCACTGCCCATGTGTGCTTTAGGAGCAAGAAAACAAAGTCCTAAACTGGTACCTTCAGAGCTAGGGTATTCTTGTCCTCTGATGTTGGTCCAGCTGTAGTGGTCTGTCCCAGTCACTCCTTCCCATCCATCCCTGTGTGATGGCTCAGAGCATGGTGACCAGTTTAAATTCTCCTACTTCTGTGGTGGGGATGACACTGATAAAGGTTTTATAAAGAACTGCTCCTTTGGGTAGCCGACAGATCACTTCTCTGCTCTCACTGCTGCGGGGCAGAGGGATGTAGACCTCTTTGGTGTATTTCACAATGCCATCCTCCAGGGCGTAAAGTGTCTTGTTACGGCCCATCCCCACCTGGAAGAGGATGAGGAGTGTTAGGAAGGAAAGGCTGGAGGTCCACCACTAAAGCAGACCTGATCATTGTTCTGCCTCATTTGATACCCTGGCTTCAATAGCATCTGTTGCTTTGTATTTTAAAACAAAACCACACTGGTTGCTTCCAGCAATCAGTATACAGTGGTGCTCATTAGGAGGGAAGAGATCCTGATTCCACCCTGAAACACAAGCATCTAGTTAGGTTGCAAAAGGGGATATCCACAACTTTCAGACCCTTTTCCCAAGTCACACAGGCATGAGTGTGACCCAGAGAAGGCTCTCTGACCAAGAAATACCAGGTCATGAAACCCCATTTGAGAATTATATAGAATATAGGGAAGAGCATTAAGAATGAGCTTGAGAGGAAGCATCGAGTATGGGACTGCTGTTCTCTGAGAACCAAGGAAGAGCTAGAAAACAACTTACATGAGCACCAGGATGCCAGCGTATCAACCGCTGTGTAGCCAAAATGTTGCCTGCATGCACAAAGGCACCTGCAACAGAGTGACAAGAGTCAGACAGAGCTCCCCAGAACACAAGTGGTTCTAGGACCTACAAACCTCAGCTTTTGGTGGAAATTTTCTAAGGAAAAATGAACTTGAAATGCTAAAAGCATCTAACCAAAAATGCTGTTAGCAGGAAATAAAGGGCAATTGATGCACAATGGCAAAAAGCAATGTTAAGTCTTTGAAAAGGTTCCTTGGGGCTGCAAAGCATTTTCTGGTTGCTGAAGGTATTTTATTACCTTTTACATCAATATGTTTTCATCAGCAAAGGTAATAATTATAAGCACTCAACTGCATGAATCTGTACTTTGGCTTCTGCTAAGCCTCATAATTCTCCTCTTTGTAAACATCTCAAATACCCAGCTTTCCAATGCAGCCTGGGGGTAAAAGTGTCCCTCTGCCTGCCCTCCTTCCAGGAGCTCCAGAGAGGGGAGTTGGAATATAAGTACATTTTCTGCAGGCAATTTTGGCTCCCTCACCCTGCCCTCCCACCCGCCACCCTTGATCATAAGGCTTTGTTGAACCTCCCCTTCCCTTTCTTTTGGAAAAGTGCCCTGGCCACCTCCTACTGCAATCAGCACCGGGGGGGGGGAAGCCGTGAGGAACCCAACTCAGCAGATACTCAGACCTACCTTCTGTTTTCTTGAACCCGTAGCGCTTCCCAGGGCTGTTGCCACCCAGATTTTTTGAGCTGCCCCCACTTTTCTTAGAAGCACACCTGATGGCAACCAGGCTTGGCTGGGGAGTTGTTAGAACTGGGTTTGAAGCAAGAACAACATCAGCTGGAAAAAGCTATTACACACACTTTCTTTCTTTCAGATTTAAAGATCAGTCAAGAAAGGGTTTAAAACTAAAGGTAAAAGAAAGTGTGGAGGGAAAAATAATGTACTGCCAAGAGAAAGCATAATTTGACCACCATGGCCTAAGTTTAAATGCTTAGGCATTTAAGAGGCTACAAAGAGGCTACATCTCAAGTACTGCTGCTGCCACCCAGGGAGGAATGATCTCAGCAATGATGTTCAAAGACGTGCACAAATTCAGGTACAGAAGTTTCTGGCAGCTGTGGACTGGCCTGATATCGCTTGGAGAAGAGATATATGATCTCTGTTTCAGTTTCCCCTTTGACCCAATGGTATTTACTTACGTAGTAGTATTTTGCAATCTTACAAGTAAGAAGACTCCAGGATGATGCACAAGCAGATATTCACAACAGATACTGCCAGAAGCAGCAATCTGGGGAGGATCAAGAAGGACTATAGATCCCTGGGAGTGGTGTGAAGGGGCTGGAGCACAGGGGATTTTTCATCCATGCTCCCAGTTGAAGCCTGCAGGGCTATGATCCTACTGGCACCACAGAGACATGGTGGGATGGCTCCTATGGCTGGAGTTTTGGAATGGAAGGATACAGGCTCTTCAGGAGGATTTATCTTCAGGAAGGACAGGTTGGGGAGGCAAGGTGGCGTCACCTTGTCAGTTACCAGCTAGAGGCCACGGAGCTCTGCTTGGGGATGGATGAGGAGCCAACCAAGAGAAGACTAGGTGGATGAGGTCCTTTGGATACAGACAGGAGCAGCCTCATATTCACAAGCCCTGGTCCTTGTAAGGACTTCAACCACTCTGATATCTGTTGGAGGCAACCCAGCAGGGCAGGAACAATCCAGGAGGGTCCTGGAATGCGCTGATGATAACATCCTTTTCCAAGTGATAAAGTGATAGGGGAGCCAACGAGGAGAGGTGCTGGACTGGACTTTGTCCTCGCCAACAGGGAGGCGTTGGTGGGGAATGTGAAGCTCAAGGGCAGCCTTGGCTGCAGTGACTATGAAATGGTGGAGATGAAGATCCTTAGGGCAGTGAGGAAGGCATGCAGCAAGCTCACTGCCCTGGACTTGTACCTGGGCAACAAGAAAAGCTTCTATAGGTACACTGGGGATAAAAGGAAGACAAGGGAAAATGTGGGCCCCCTCCACAAGGAAATGGGAGACCTGGGACATGAGGAAGGCCCAGGTCTTTACCAGCAAGAGCTCCAGCCACACCACCCATGTCACAGAAGGGGAGCAAAGGCAGGGAGTGGGAGAATGGAGAACCACCCCCTGTGGCAGATTAGGTTCAAGACCATCTAAGGAACCTGAAGGTGCACAAGTCCATGGGGCCTGATGAGATGCATCCACAGGTCCTGACTGGTGGGTGAAGTGGCCAGGCCATTATCCATCATATCTGAGAAGCTGTGGCACCCTGGTGAAGTTCCTGATGAGTGGAAAAGGGGAAACATAACCTCTACTTTTAAAAAGGGAAAAAAAGAAGAGCCAGGGCACTACAGAGTGGCCAGGATCACCTCAGTACCCAGCAAGACCATGGAGCAGATCCTCTTAAAACTCTGCTAAGGCACATGAACAGTAAGGGCATTCAACATGAATTCACTACGGGCAAACTGTGCCTGACAAATTCGGTGGCCTTCTCTGATGGGTCAATAGTGCTGGTGGATCAGGGAACAGCGACTGCCATCATCTACCTGGACTTGTGCAAGGCATCTGACACTGTCCCCCATAACATCCTTGTCTCTAATTGGAGAGACATGGATCTGATGGATGGATGACTTGGTGGATCCCCAGACAAATCTGAGAGGTGGCCAAGTGTGTCCTTGGTCACACAGTTCTGATGACCCACTAGAGAATCATTAGGGTATTCTGGCCTTTAACAATAGATTAAAAAAGAGTATTTTTAAAGCTTCCTGACTATGGCACTCCGCAAAGAGAAAGCAGCACCCCTCAGTGTTTGATTTGTACCTAATACACATGAATACTGTTTCTCTAAAGATGATTTTTCCACCTTGAAGGCACTCACGCGGCAGCACAGAGACATTCCTCATCCCTGGAAGTTTCTGAATGCATAAGGCATAAAGCCCTCAGCACTTCAGCCCCTGCTTTCAGCACCCGAAGTGGTTTAAACCCCTTCCAACATGGTTAACCCCGTCATTCGGGGCCTGAAACCCGCCCATTTCACCACAGCACCGCCGCGGGCCTGAGGTAAAAAGCGAAGAGTTCGACCCCGAGACACCGACAGCAACCTCCCACGGGGTACACCCCACCCCTTCCCGAG